TTGAGTTTTCTAAAATTTAAAAACTACCTCAGGTCCTTCTGGGCAAAACACAATGGCAAAGTGTAGGAGGGAGATAAATTGGAGTCCACTTTCTAAGATGGATGAAATTACTGGCAGAATCCTTAAGGAATCAGGAAAATCCTGGATTCCCTTCCCTGCTTTTCTCTCTCTCTCATACTGATGCCATTGAAGGGAGGAGTTACAAAAAAGCAACATTTTCTTATTTCTTACCTTCCCAATTTGCAGTGCAGATGAGAGAACCTGGAAGAGATGCCAAATTGTACAATTGCTTGGATAAAGGCATGTAAAAGCAGGAGAAAATCCTGCTAATTGCTTGTTTCCCCAGATCTGTCAAGAAGTGAAACAGAGTTCTCTCCCAATCTCAAACAGAGAAAAAAGCAGCCTTTTTGCACTTCCATGATTTAAATAAGGGAATAAAGTGAAGGAGAAAATCCCATGATTCCCCCTTCTCTAAACATAAAACAAATGAGTGCCTGAGGTTGCTCAGAATCCGTTTCACGAGTAGACCGGGTGTTTGCTGGAGAGCTGACAGGGAAAATTAAAAATCTGCTTTTCGCATGGCTTTTTGAGTTGGATGGTTACCTTACAGAATCTATTGCCACAAGATACAGTGAATGGTTTTTAAAATGGGGTTGAACATTTTGTGGAGGACATTTCCATCAACAGCTGTTCACAGTGACTGCCAAATCAAATCGCTGTGCTCAGAGCCCATAGACGTCTGCATGTTAAACGATAGGAGCAAACTAAAGGTATACAGTATTTGGATCCAAAGTAGGAAAGGTGGTTTGGATCCAGGGCCAACATGATTGCTATAGTTGGCTGTGACACCTCAAAGAAGCGCCATGCAGTCCCGGGAAAATATGTGTGTGAGTTCAGGGCATTACAGAGGCACCAACACGGTGCAGGCCCTTGTCATCTCCTCCTGAGCTCACACATATTTTCCTGAGATTGCAATGTAAACTCCAGATCTACAGCTCCCAATAAAAACACTAAAAATATCAAGCAGTTCAATACAGTCCAGGAAGATCTGGAGTTTCTCTGCAGCACATTTTCCCTGCTTGGTTCCTTTCAGATGCCATGGACCCAAAGCCCCATCATCCTGCGCCAGAATTATTCAACTTTTCAAGAAGGCTTCTCTTAGTTCCTCGGTGACATCAAGAGGCATTCTTCACGCATGGTCATACTAGACATACTCTCAACTCACCTGGGGTGAGAGCAAAGAGCACAGATTGGGCTACAGTAATTGAGCGAGCTTCCTAGAACAGTGTCCTCAAAATTCCTTACAATCCACTAGGACTATGGCTGGGGAGGGGCAGGGATTTCTCAGGAGACGTGTTTATATAGCTCTGAATTCTGTGAATATACGTATAAATAAACTAACAAACAAACCTAGTGCCAGGGCTGTCTGAATGGCTGTGTTTCAGTTGCTCTAAAGCTGCTGTTTCTTTTATTAACCCTTGCTTCTAAAGGCATAACTGAACATCCTGTTTCCCAGGAAGTTGCTTAAGGAACAAGCAGATGATGGGAAAAGCAGGTCCCTAGAACAATAGGAGAGGTTTCTTTATTTGGGAACAACGGCGCTTCCTCCAACTTCATGAAAGAAGTTCCAGAACGTTTACAGGGTATGGCTTATATTTGAAATTCTGACCTGGCATTTCCACTAGCTTTATCTGAAAAAGCCCAACTGCTTAACCGAGCACAAGATGCAGTAAATTCAAGAGGCTTGCCCCGAGGCAGCTGAGGCAGTGACCTTTCCTCCTAGAAACCATTTTTGGCAAAGGCACGGCACTATCTATTGCTAACCAGTGAACACAATATTATAGCTGCTGAATTTTGCGATTAGTTTCTCCCTGGGAACAGAATAAAACAATTGCAACATTTTGGTTGGCATACTATCTTGTTCTAGGTCAAAAGATACTCTCCCTCCCTGTTCTTCCCCTAACAACGTGAAGGGGAGTTTTATCTGGTGAGCATTATCTGGAAATGAGCAGAAGCCAAGACAGTGACAGAAACATACAGAAATAAGTAGATAATACAACAACCCAGGGCGGGGGGAGCTGCAGGTAGTAACTTCAAAAATAGCCCTGAAATTGCTGGAGAATTCTAGGTTCCAAAGCTGTGTAAGCCTACTACTAGTCCATCGATGGCTCCTACAACATGCCCTGTGGAACTAGGTTTTTAAAAGGGCAGACGAGCGAGACGAGAATTTCAATTGCTCCTCTGTAGTCTGTTTGTTTTGTGGAGATTCCTTCTAGCATATTTTTCTTTCCCAGCATTTTCTTTCCTGGCCTGCAGAAATTATCAGTTGCTTTCCATGCCACACTAGTGAAGTATTACTACTATTTTTGATACCGTTTGCTGAATAACTGTATTTCCTCTTCACATTTGTCATCTCTTTCCATCTATAGCTTCATTTATCCTTGAAGTAGTAGGCTTTTTTCCAAATCAGTGTCGTGATTTTAATATATCTGGCCTTTGGTAAAAGCCAGCTCTCTCATTTGAACCTCCCTTGTGGCAGGTAGAGGAATTTCCAGTCTGAATACTTTTTATTTTATTTTATTTTATTTTAATGAAAAAAGTGCCCATAAAAAGGAGCCAATCAACAAGGGTGCTAAGCTAAAACCATTCTCACCATTAGGAAATGTTGTCAGCATCAGCCTTGTGATTGCCCTGCTTGAATTCCTAACTGGAAGAGAAGAGCCATTATACGCTTTTTATTTCTTATATACGATTTTGCCACAACTCCTCCCAAACATATCAAGACTCAGGATGGCTTCCTCCCATTTTGGTTTTGTGCCATCTTTCATTTTCAACATTTTACGAGTTTTATCTGTACTACAGAACTGGTTTAATAATTATTTTGTCGCTTTGTGGGGCTTTGCTTCTGCGATACTTAGTTTAAAGCAAAATATATGATATTAAGCTGTCTGTAGACAGCTTTATTTGATGAGTCTTTTTCCACATAAACATTCATTCCCAAAGCCAAGGATACTATGATAGAAATATTGAGGCTTTGGAATGATTACTTATCTCTGTTCAAGTTGCTAGTTTGAAAAAATGTCTCCATGAACTCAATCCTTTATATAAAAGGACACTATAAAAATATTGAAGAAATCCTAGGATGCTGATTAATGAAAGCTTGCATTTTAACCATCCTCCACCAATGTTCGATGATTGCACTTGACTTAAGTTTTATATTTGTATTTTTTTCTGTCCTTCATTGTTCCACATACTGTTCCCATATCCATATCTTGGCACTTGAGTATCCATGTCCCTTCCAATATGTGTTCAGGAGTATTCTAAGTACTTCATGTCCTACTCTCAAGGATCCATTATTGTTAAAACTTAAAAGTGATTCCATTGTTTTCTGCCACAAAAAGTTTTTAGTGGTGGTTGGGTAGCTTATATTTTTTTCAAGGAGGTGATAGCAACAGAGTGTGTTAATCATCTTTTTTTTTCCATCTTGAAACTATAAAGAGAAAAAGCAAGAAACAATAAGTTAGTGTGCCCAGTTTTGTTGTATCAAGTGTGGTAAAAGTTAGAAGAGACTGCAAGTGTTTCAAGGTCAAATTTCATGTACTGTTTATCTTCCTCTTTAAATTATTGGAGACAGTCTTTAAGTTCTAATAGTAAGTAAGGAACGTTTGTTTACGGCCATTGAATAGCCACATATAGAACTGCAAAATACAGCAAAGCAACATCAGTATTAAAAATAAAACAAAAATAACAATAGTACAACAAATAGGTGGAAAAAGAGAAATAACATTGGCCTACCCCTATGATTTCCCCTGGGAATCTACACATATTCAAAAATGTTGTTGGTATTCAGCATTCTTTTTGGTTGTTGTTCAACAAGTAAGGCTATATGGATGATGGATGGATATGTAGAGCACTGTACATTCCAGCTGTGGATGGACCTTGCTATTCTGGGGGGCCAATTTCAGTCCTTGATGGCTGCCAGCCATCAGCACCAGATGGTTGTGGTCCAAAATATCTAAGGACCCAGAATTGGAAAGCACAGATAGATAATATTGGTGTTCTGATAGGTCAGTGTTCTATCTTTGTAAAAGGCTGATGCACAAGCTCTTATAATTAGTTCCAAGGTCAAAGTTCTGTTCTGGAACCTATTTTGAACAATGCAGGCATGTGAAAGGAAAACAGTTTACCTGAAAAAATGCATCAGGAAGTTCCCTTGCCTCAAGCCCACATATCTTGAATTAAAGGTAACACTTCCCAGGAGATCAAAAAGTACACTTATTCTAGCCAGGCCAGAGTTCTGACCCTCAATTTGGCAAGCCAGTGCTACATCTGTTGAAGAAACAAAAATTGAGAACGGTTTGTACCATTCTGGATTATTTCTTCTGGGAGTAATGCAACGATAGAAGAGTAATCCTGAATCCATATCAGAAGAGTACTTTGAATCCAGCATTGGGAGAATAAATTAGGGCCAGGGGAGAAATGTTCCCAAGTGTTTAACTCATGTCCACCAACCATATCTGTTCATTTCATATCCTGAGGTAAGCAAGCAATCCTGCACACCCATGTTTAACATTTATATTGGCATATTATTAATTGAAGTTCAGCCTAACAGGAGAGGATTTCTGCTCCAGAAGAGAAGGGATGATAGGGAAATTGGAAGTGATCCTGCATCCTGTTCTTAATGACGTTAAGATATTGGCACGATTACAGCTGAACTAATAGCTATTCTGCAATAGCAGTGTTGACTAAAATGTATTTTATTATAATAGTAGATGACAGCTCATAAACTCATTACTTTTACACAGTATAAAAGAACAGTTCCATAGGAAGTAAGTGATTGTTACTGGTTGAATATACTGTGGCAACAAAAACAAAACAAAAACAACTTCCTTTACCTCATTATCCCAAAGAAAAAACTATTGATGTTATTCAGGGCTGTGCCTTGTTTATCAAGTCTATGTCATGTGAAGCTTGAATAAACACATATCAACTCTTTACAGGAAGAAAATGAAATCCCTGCCAGCGTATTTGTGAAGGAGCCTGTTCCCAGTATTACCGATGGGAAGGAAGAGCCTGTTGATGAGAACAAAACCTTGGAAGAAACCCTGCACACTGTGGAGTTGTCCTCAGAGGATGAAGTGCCCCACGATGACATTGCAGATGACAGTATGGATGAGAAAATAGAGGAGTCCAGAGCTGAGAAGATCAAGAGATCAAGCCTCAAGAAGGTTGACAGCCTGAAGAAAGCATTTTCCCGTCAAAATATTGAAAAGAAGATGAACAAGTTCAGCACCAAGATTGTCTCGCCTGAAAGGAGAGAGAAGATCAAGAAGTCTTTCACCCCTAACCATCAGAAGTCCTCCTCATCAAAGAGCTCATCTTTCAAGGTCTCTCCCCTGACGTTCAATGTGAAGAAAGTCCGTGATGGAGACACATCCATAGAAGTAGAAGACAAGTCCGAGGAAGCGACTGGCAGTGAGCATGCAGCCATTGATGAGACCACCTTCACTTCAGATCCAATCTCTCCTGTTTCTCCAGCTGAAGAAGGAAAAGCCCTTGCTGACTCCTTGGAAAAGGAGTCAGGAAGTGAGGGAGAGGTGGCGATCAACAACAACATTGAGCTTGCAATTGTTGAAGAAGATGATGACTATAGGCCTTCATTAGAAATCAGACAAGAACTTTATGAGGAAAGGAACAAGCCAACCAGTGGGGAAATGGAATATTCCGAAGAATCCAATCAAGCAGCTGTCCTCCACGTAGACCAAACAGCGTAAATTGCCAGTGTCCTTTCTACATATGTTATTTTTAATTACATCAGTCACCAGAATATGTCTGCTATACTATAAATATGGGGTTCCAGTAGTAAGTCACAGTGTTGTTGGTTTTAAAAAGTAGATTTCCTTACAAAACTGTTTTCACTAAATTAGAATTGACTCCCACAGTGAAAAATAGGGCCTGATCTCCAGGTAATGTAAAAGCAGATCTACTGGCATTTCATGAGCAGCTCTAACCTCTTTCCACCACCTCTTCAACTCTTTTCCTACTTTCTCGTGTTTCTTCACTTTACCTACAATGTGTTTAAAAGAAGTGTTCAAGATCATTAGGCTATTTGACAAAAGGCATACCTGCCCGTTTCATATTCACTTAACTGCCACCAAAAATACTCTTTTAAATTGTAGTTAAGAACATACGCAGTGCCCTGCTGGATCAGACCAGACCAGACCATTTAGTCCAGCAGTCTGTTCTCTGGCCAACCAACTGCATAAAGAAGCTCACTTGTCTCCCAGCAGATGGCCTTCAGAGGCAATCACACTCCCATCGAAGCTAATAGCCATTGATCCCCATGACTTCCATGAATTGGTCCAACCTTTTTTTTCTTTTCTTTTGAAGCCAACCAAGCTGGTAGCTAGCACCACATCTCATGATAGTGAATTCCAAAGTTTAATACAAGTTGTGTAAAAAAAAAAAAATCCTTTTGTCAGTCCTGATTCTTCCAGTATATTCAATTTCATTGGGTATCCCCTGATTCTAGTATTTTGGGAAGGGGAAAATAGCTTTTCCTTGTCCTCTTTATCCACACCATGCATAATTTTGTAGTTAAGGAATTATTGAGGATTTGCAAAAATCCATGACCCTCACCCCCACCTGCAATTTAGAAGCATCAGCTCTCAGAGTTCTCATTGGAGAAGGCATGGCTATTAAGCCCTTTGGAATCAATGGTGCAAGTATGATCTTACTTTTTCAAACACAGGTCCCATGTTTTCTTCAAGCTAGACTGTGAGCCTGCATTGAAAAGACAGTTCCCTGCATTCTATTTTGCTTATTGTCCCTGAGGATCAGTCTGTTTTGGAGAGAACTGTGGAAACCATTCCTGTGTCATCTTTTCCTATTAACTGTTCTCCTACTAACTGCTTTTTAAGCTACAACCTAAGTTATAAGCTAGGCTCTTTCCCATCTCGGTCCTATTACTAAGGCAGTTCAATCTATTTTCCTAACCTATGAAATCCTTAAGGTTTGTAATTTTCATTCTTGATGTTCTGTGACTATCGCAATGTGATGTAAGGGTGAATTTCACGTGACAAGAGCTGATACTGAAAATGCCAGAGTGAGTTACTGAAAAGTAGAGTTTTTGCCAATATACTTACGCAGATTCTTATTATGTGCAGATGCACTGGAAACAATATTTTTAGCACACAAAATTGATTTGAGAAACAAGATTATTGTGAGGAGTCTGCACCTCAACAAAAGTATGAGAATGGGATTTTTCCTTCCTTACAGCTATTCAGTCACTTGGTTAATTAATAACTGTTGATACAGAGCAATTAGGCAGTTGAGTTTTCTGTCTAATAGTGTCTGTATGAACATATTTTGTTTTACTGACCTTGAGAATATTCCTTTATCCACCTCAGTTCTTTGCAGGATGAGGTTTAGTTTTGTTTTGTCCTTTCAAATAAAAAGAAATCAAGTACTTTTGGAACTACGATGCAGTCTTATAGCACATTTGTTCTGAAGTCAATCCCACTGTGTCTGTTGGGACTTACTCTCAGATGTAGGATTGCAGCCGTAGTGTATTAATGAAGTAGTAGTAGTAATCAAAGGTAATATATGTTAGGAGCTGTTTTAGATCAAGATTTTTTCCATGTGTACCTTCCCATCATGAAAAATGACGTCTTAGCATAGTTTTCCATAGTCAGTGGAATGTTAAGATACATCTAGACTATGAGATCAGTAAGATGCATATCTTGTCTTAGTGTTTGAATTGAAAATAATGTGATACAGTTAGGGAGTATCTGTGCACTGCAGAAACTGATGGTCTGCAACTCTCATTAGACCCAGCCAGAATGGTCAGTGATCAGGGTTGGTGGGAGAATATCTTCATGTTCCCCCTAACTGATGTAG